ATCATGGAAGGATAATAGGGGATGATATTTATTGAGATGGGAAATTATTAGTTAATGGTGCCTCGTTAAAAACCTAAAAAACCCTTCACATTTTTATGGGGAATAAAAATACTGAGCTAGGAAAAGCGTGCACCTAATACAAATAAACAGATTAACTATAATATAAACTTAGGGTTGCAACATTCCAAGTCCTCGGTATCTTTCCACCATCAAGCGTCTTCAATCGGTAAGCTCCCTTGCCGACTACCTCGTCAATGCGGTAAGGGCCGACCCATTTAGGAGACAACTTATTCCTAAGTTGGGTCAGCTGAGCACGCTTTAAGACAAGGTCTCCTTCAACAAAAGTTCGTGGGACGACCTTTGAGTTATACTTGAATGTCGCTTGTTGTTGTGCCGCTACCTGATTTATTCAAGCTCTGTCTCTTGTTTCGGCAATCAGGTCAAGGTCAACTCGTCTTCCTTGGTCAGATTCCTCCTCGGAGAAATATGTTGCGCGCATGGATAGTTCTTTGATCTCAACTGGTATCATAGCGTCTGTCCCATACACTAAGTTAAATGGGGTGTCTTGGGTGGATGAGTGGATAGTCGTGTGATACGACCACAATACTCTTGGGAGTTCGTCCACCCATGACAAGCCTGAATTCTCAACCCGCTTTTTGATTCTGGAAAGTATCACCTTGTTTGCCGATTCTGCTTGCCCGTTGGACTGCAAATGCTCTACATACGTGAACATCATCCGAATTTCGATCTCTTTACAAAAATTCTGAACCCTTTCACTAGTGAATTGCGTTTCGTTGTTTGATACCAACACCTGCAGGACACCATACCGACATATGACATTTTTCCACAAGAAAGTTCTCACCTTTTATGCCGAAATGGTTGCTACTGATTCTGCTTCTATCCATTTGCTAAAATAATCCACCGCCACGATCAAGAACTTTAATTGGCGTACAGCCATCAAAAAAGGGCCTAAAATGCCAATACCCCGTTTATTGAAAGGCCATGGAGATATGAGTGAGTGAAGTGGCAGGTGAATGATGTTGGACTGCGTGTCTTTGGCACTCATCGCATTTTCAGACCCAATCAACACAGTCTTTTGTTAGGGTCGGCTAAAAGTACCCTGCTTGGGTAACCTTGTACACAAGAGATCGGCCTCCGATAAGGCTTCCACACATCCCCCCATGAATCTCTTCCATTACTCGTTGGGCCTGCAATGCTGTTAAGCACCTCAATAGAGGGGCACTGAATGCTCTTCGGTATAGTATTCCCGATAAGATCACAAACTTCGTCGCGTCCCTTACAATTAACGATGCTTCATGCTTACCTTCAAGCAATGAACCTTGTGTTAAGTATAGGATGTAAGGTGTCATCCAAGATTCTTCCTCTTCTTCGATAACCAGAACCTCAACAGAAGGACCATTGATGCGTGGTTGGGATAGGACTTCTTGAATGACCGAACGCGTGGTGCCTGGTCTCTTCGTGCTTGCTAGTTTTGAGAGGAGGTCCGCTCGTGAGTTCTGCTCCCTAGGGACATGGTTTAGTGAGAACTTGGTGAAGTCGGCCGACATAAGTTTTACTTTTTCCAGATACCTAGCCAGTTGGGGATCCTTTGCCTAGAAGGTTCCTACCACCTGCCCCGTCACAAGTTGTGAGTCACTCCGAGCCGACAAACTTGTTGCTCCAATTTCCTTTGCCAAGGTCATTCCTGCCAACAGCGCTTCATACTCCGCCTGGTTATTACTCGCCCGAAACTCAAATCGTAGCGATTGTTCTAAGAGTATACCTCTGGGACCCTCGAGGATGATCCCGGCCCCGCTACCGCCCAAGTTTGAGGCTCCGTCAACAGATAAGATCCATTCGCTTTGTCTATAAACATCCTCTTCAGCAGGTGAGCTTAATTCCACTAGGAAGTCGACCAATGCTTGAGCTTTGATGGCTCCCCTCGGCTCATATGTGATCACGAATTTTGATAACTCGATTGACCACTTCATCATTCTTTCGGCCAGGTCGGGTTTTTGTAGAACCTGTCTAATCGGGTAGTCTGTTCGGATTATTATTTCATAGCTCTGAAAATAGTGTCTGAGCTTTCTCACCGTTATCAATATGGTGAATGCTAACTTCTCGATCTTCTGGTAGCGGACCTCTACTCCTTGTAACACCCTGTTGACAAAGTAAACAGGCATCTGAGAATTACCCTTCTCTTGAACCAAAACTGCGTTAACGGCACGATCCGATGCCGACAAGTACACCAATAAGGGGGAAATAGTCTGAGAATTGGTGAGGATCGGTGGTGAGGTAAGAGACTTTTTGAGCTCCCCGAATGCCCTCTCACACTCGTCTTTCCATGAAAAGCGATCGTTCTTCCTTAAACATTGGAACAAAGGTAACGATTTATCTGCCACTTTCGAAAGAAAATGAGAGAGAGAAGCCATTCTCCCTGGTAACTGTTGGACTTCTTTTACCGTCGTCGGGCTTCTCATATTGATTATCGCGGAGCACTTGTCAGGGTTTGCTTCAATACCACGATGAGTCAACAAGAAACCGAGAAACTTTCCCTCTTGGACACTGAACGAGCATTTTGCAGGAGTTAACTTGAGCTGATATCGCGCCAGAGTGTCAAATGATTCTTGCAGGTCGATAAAATGCCGAGCAACACTAGCCGACTTCACCACCATGTCGTCCACGTATGCCTCCACATTTCTACCTAGCTGATCTGCCAAAATCTTGTCCATAAGCCTCTGGTACGTCGCCCCCGCATTCTTCAACCCAAAAGGCATGACCTTGTAATAGTAGGTGGCCTGATCGGCTATGAAGGCCATTTTTTCCTCATCGGCAGGATCCATCCTGATCTGGTTGTAACCTGAGTATGCATCCATGAAGCTTAACAGCTCATATCTTGACGCATTGTCAACTACGCAATCTATGTTGAACAGCGGATACGAATCTTTCAAACAAGCTTTATTTAGGTCAGTGAAATCTGTGCACATCCTCCAGTTTCTGTTGTTCTTTCGTACCATTACCACGTTTGCTAGCCACGTCGGGTATTGGATTTCCCGAATGTGGCCAGCTGCCATCAACTTCTTCGTCTCCTCAACTATAGCTCTCCTTTAGTCCTCTCCGAATTTTCTCCTTTTTTGAATCATAGCCTTCGCCTTAGGATCAACCATAAGGTGGTGACACAGGAAATCCGGATCAATGCCTGGCATGTCACTAGCACTCCATGCAAAGGCTGATATATTGTTTTTCAACATGGTCACCAACCCCTCCTCATCTTATTTGGCCAAAGACACGCCGACCTTGACCATTTTTCCTTCAGCCAAGCTAATTTCTTTCACGTCCTCTGTCGAGGCTGGTCGGGAATCGAAATGAATCACTCTCATATCTAACTCAATGAAACTCCCCGATCAACCTGTGTCACATATAGGTGTCTTCTCGCTCTCAGGCTGTCCTCGTAGCATTTCCTTGCGACCTCTTGGTCTACATAGAGGACTCCAACCTTTCCGCTGGGCAAGGGGTACTTCAACTTCAAGTGGGGTGTTGAAACGACAGCACCTAACTTATTCAATGTGGGTCATCCGACTAGAATGCAGTAAGATGATTGGGCGTTTACCACTAGATATCGGACAGTAACGGTCTTCATATGGTCGCCTTGCCCAAAGGTGGTCTCTAAGTCAGCGTATCCCCTGGCCGTCACCTAATCACCTGCAAAGCCTACTAAAGTTCCTGCATACGGCATAAGGCATTCAATTAGAATTTTCATCCTGACGAAAGCCTCCCAGAACATGATGTCCGCCGAGCTGCCCTGATCTACCAACACGCGTTTCACATTGTAGCCCATGACAATTGCGGAAACGACTATAGTGATGGAACTACTTGGAGAAGATTGATGTTTCTTCAAGTTGAATCATGCTAAGTCCCTTCTTCTCTTGAGGTTCTTCATATCAATGGATGATTTGGATGAGTTCAAGCTTCAAAAGCTTGAAGATGCTTCCCAAGGTGGTTCGGTTTCTCTTAAAGGAGAGAAACTTGAGGAACCAAGCACAAAGGAGAAGTTCCTTTGTGAAACTTCTAGGAGAAGGGGATTCTCCACGAAATTGGACTCTTGAAATGAGAGAGAATTTCTGAATTCTAAGTCTCATAAATGTCAAAAGTGATTACAAGAGTAAAAATTACAAATATATAGAGGTAGGTAGCTTAAGGAGCAAGCTAACCTTAACCATGGTTCACAAGGAACCATGGTAAGGTTACTTGACCTTCTAGATAAGTTTAGAAACTTGTGGAGCAAGCTTCTCACTTAGCTTGCTTGGGAAGCAAGCTAAGGAGAAGCTTGTAGCACAAGCTTCTCATCTCCTTGAAGGTCAGAGAAGCAATTCAGTCAAAGAAAGGAGACTAGGCAAGGTGGGCGGATTTGATCTCTTTTGGCTCCTTAAATTAATTTCAAAAATGTTTGATTTGGTTTAGTTAGGTTCATCCAATGATGATGAAACCTAGCTAAATCAAATCTATGAAAAATTAGGAGCAAAATGAGTCCAATATGTAAAATTTTGCCTAGGCCCAATTCTGGCCCAATTACTAGTCACACCCTCAAGCATTGCTAAAAGTCACCCCTCTTTTCCTACTGAAAAAATAGAAAATGAGTGTATCAACAAAGGAGGTTAAATGGAGTCAAACTCTCCAAGTAACCCACCCTAGAATCAATATACAATGACTAATAAAAGAAACTAAAGTGCCTCACAAATACAAAGGCAAAAATAAGCCTATACAAGAGAACTATGTACAAGATATTTACAACTAGAACTGTGCCTTCTCTTCATTATAGAGAGGTCCAAATTGAAAAGTACCTAGGGCTTGGAAAGCCCACTAGTCTTCAAGATGTCCACTGGTCTTCAAGGTGGCCATAACTCTAGAGATTGGGCCCTTGGCCCATGGTCCGTCATCCCATTCCTCTTAGTTCCTTCAATGTATCACCTCTTGGATTCCTTGGCCTTGGCCATAGTCTATCATATAGGGTCGTCCTCGTGGGGAGACACCCCTTCGTAGTCGACATCCGAGAACGTGATGGCTGGCCGATGTGGTCGCGCCCATTCCGAGACAGATAACACCGATCGGGAATATCTCTTCCACGCCACTGACGTCGGGCCTCCTCCAGCAAATCCCCCCGTTATGGTGTTAAAATCTCCATGAACAGCCTGTTGATGGGTCTCCGACCTTTTTTCTGGAAGGTCTCTGGGAGGAGACCTTCCTTTGTGCCTACCTCCTTTTGTATCTTCTCCTTCATGTCTACGTTGTCTGTTGGACGAGCCTTCATCATGCTTTCTCGCCACGAACTTCTTTAAACGACCCTCCTTGATAAGACGCTCAATTTGCCTTCAGAGAACAAAATAGTTCTCTGTAGTGTGCCCATGAGACCTATGAAACTCGCACCAGTCGATTATGAAAGGACCCAACTGACGATCAGTCGCTGCCGGGAACTCAAAGAGTGATGCGTTGTTGACGTCATGGAGTATTTGCCTCCTAGGAATGTTGAGTGGGGTGAACTTTTCCTGTTCATTATTTCGCGTCCACTCGCCCCTCGTCCGACCACCATAGTCCGCCTGTCTGTGATTTTCTTCCTTCACATTGTAGCGATCACGTCGCTTACTCCAATCCGAGCGTACCCGGAGGTGCTTATTATCTTCCTTATTGTTACCCCCTGCTTCTCGGCTTTTGTCCACACTCTTATTGATTTGTCCTTCCTCCGTCTTAATGTGACCTAGGGTGAAAGCTCTCACCTCTGACATCATTTGGCAATTCACTCTCTCCAGTGCGATGTCGAAAGCACCAGATCTTAGACCCTTCTGGAATGCGATGACCGCTATCTTTTCATCCAAGGACGCTATCCTCAAATCAACCTCATTGAACCTTTGCAGAAAATCCTTCAACGACTCCTCGCGTTGTTGTTTGAGATCAAACAAATCTGACGTGATTGGCGATTTCTTTTTGTTGGCCGCAAACTGTGCCATTAAAAGCCGACTAAAGACGTCAAAATCGGTGATTGATCGGTCAGGAAGACCACTAAACCAATCAAGGGCCACCTTTTTGAGCGTGCCCATGAACAGCTTGCAGCGGATTTCCATACTCCCTTCACAGATCAGCATTTGAGCTCGGAAATCCATCAAGTGTTGGTTAGGATCCTGGGTCCCGTCGAAAGGTTCCACCTGGGGGACCCGATGATCCCTCGGAATGGTCTCGGCCTCTATGGCTTCCGAGAAAGGTCTGAAATCCCTAGGGACTTCCATCATGACATCCTCCTCCACCGTTCTGGTATTGGGCGCTACATAGCCTGCATCTCATCAGCTCGTCTTCTGATCTCCTCGTTTTCTCGTTGGATAGCCTCCTCCCTTTCCCTGGATCGTGCATTCTCCTCTCTCAAGCCATTGATCAATGCCATCATCTCCTCCATGGTAGGTAGGGGTGGGTATATGGACTTGAGTCCGCAGACCAGTCCGTAAGTCCGCGGACTTCACGGATAACGGCTCCATTTTTTTTAATCCGTATAATCGTACGGACTTTTTAGGTCCGGCCCGTTTAGTCCGCGGATTTTTTGGATTTAATCCGCGAGCCCGCTGATTACCCGTTTAAATGTGGACTCAAATTTTATTATTGAAGATACTTGATTATATTTGATAGATGTAACTGGACTTACAAATATTTTATGTTTGTTTTTAAGATATTAATTAAGACTTTGATGATTTAACGTATTTAGACTTTGATGTACTTGGACTTACAAATGTTTTATATTTGTTTGGTTTTGTATTAAGATTTTTAAAGTTTTAAGGTAGTAAGACTTTAATATTTGGTTAATAGTTGGTATGCTTGGACTTTAAATTTTAAAGGCATTGAGACTTGAATATTTCTATTAGAAATTTAGAATGTGTAAACTTTGTTATTTAAGACTTTGATTTATTATTTACAATGTTTGATGTTATTATTAGAAGTATATTTATATCATTTTATATGTTTTTTTTTTCCTCATGTTTTCATAGGTTAAATAAAGGAAAAGAAATTCAAAATCTGAGTCAATATTCATTTAAACAATTTAGATTTAATTGGGCCCGCGGACTTAGCCCGTGGACTTATCCGTTTATTTGCGGGCTTCACGGGCTGGATACGGGCTTGATGATTTAAGTCCATTTATTTTGCGGATTGGATTTATCCGGCCCGTTAAAAATGCGGACTTCGCGGACCGGGCCTTAAACGGGCCGGACCGGTCCGCATACCCACCCTTAATGGTAGGGTGTTGTGAGTCGCTATTTGATGTGTCGCCTCTCGCCATAGTAAAGTATAGGTTCTTCTGTATTGCTTGGGGCGTAGGAAAAGTTTTACCGTAGCCCCACGGTGGGCGCCAAAATGTTCCGGCCAAAGGGTGGACTAAGGTTTTTTCCTAGATCAAGCCTTCAAAGCCAAAGCATTCAAGAGTGTAATTTTCCTGCTTATTTCTAGGGATTTAGGTTTTATACTTTTCTGTTGTTGGGCCTCCTAGGCCCATGAATGTAGGGATTCCGCCACCGTTAATATCCCATATGAGGGGGTTAGGGTCGGAATCCAGTCGAGATGAGATTCTAATGAGGGAGTCCAGGTCGGATACCGACCGAGCTCCCCCTACAAGGGACCAGGTCGGACACAGGCCAAGCTCCCCCTACAAGGAGACCAGGTCAGATACTGGTCAAGTTCCCCCTTACCAAGTAAAGAGGTCAGAATCTGACCGGGTACCCTCTGCCGAGGAGCCACATCAGCTAATATTGGGTCCCCCCCTTACCAGGGGTGGGTCGGCTTATACCCGGGACGATACAGAAACATAATATGGTAAAGCACTTGCTAAAGGATGGAACAATTTTCATCAATTATGTGAAGTTAGAAGGAAACTTGGCAAATCCTTTGACAAAACCCCTAGGAAGAAAAATGATTTATGAAATATCGAGAGGAATGAGACTAAAGCCTATTGAAAACAAAAAAGTGATGGTAACTCAACCTTGGTGATTGGAGATCTCATGAATAAGGTTCATATGGGTAAGAACAAGTCTCCTGTTAATTCTGCTAGCACTAAAATTGATTTTTTAAATCTTTATCCCCTTTCCTATAATGTGAGAAAGTGTTAGAGCTGCATTACTAAGATGATAAGTTTTATTGTTAAGCTTTATGAGAAAGCATTATAAAAATTTTAATGATTTTCATATCCCTTATGTGTGGTGTATGATTTGCGGCATACACTTAATGAAATCACCTATATGAGTGACAAGTGGGGCCACTTGCATGAGATCTTAAAGAGATTTCTAGAGCACTCATGAATCCCGAGCATACGCATGGCCTAGTAGCGCAAAATAGTGATAACAACAAGAATTATGGAGGTGTAATGTGATTGATAAAACTGTTAATATACATTAAGTGTTTTTGGTTCATATAGCTTGCTACACCAATTCACTCTATGTTAAGTATTATCAATCTAGGTCTGGTTTATATAGCTTTGTCGCCACCCGCCGAAACGGACCTTGGCATTCGCGAATTTAAGTTTTCGATTATGCGGTAAAATCCTCTCAAATCTGAATCCCTCTCATCTTTATCTGTTCTTCAATTAATTTTGAATTAAATTCATGATTATGAATTGTATTATGATTAATTGAAGAACAAAATTAATTCAAATTAATTTTAGAACAACGAATTATTGGATTCAATTTGGATTGGAACAATATGAAATAGATTTATTTTCTTAGTATTTTCATAGAACACGATTGCGTTCTTTGTTCTTTAATTTAAATTAAATATTAAATATTGTAATTTGAATTATATTTTTTTATACTGCAATAATCAAAACTTGAATCGATGTTTTATCCGATTGTATTCTCAAATTCGTGATTCTTGAGTTTAATTTTTAGTTTATAATTTTTTTCATATAAAGTGTTTGATAAAAATCCCCTAGCTAACTTGAAATGCAAAATTCGTGTTTTATGATTTGTGATTCTGGATTCTGACATAGGTTCCCTATATTACAAAATTTATAGGAAAAACTTGTTGTATTTAATAATGTTTGACATCGTTATCACCATCATCTATAGATAACACAAAAAAAAAAATTTGAACAAAAAATTCGATACTGCAAACACAAAAATAAAAGGCAAAAAATAACAAAGAATATAGCAGAATAATAGGTAAAGGAGGATAATAAATGGTGAAATATAGATTACTTATGAACTAACAAAAGACACATAAAATCTATAAAAAAAAAAATCAAATAAAAATCATTGAAAACACATAATTGACATTAAAAATGTGGTATCTTTAATTGGTGTCATTAAATTTATTAAAAAATAATAATTTAGTTTTAAAACAAATATATAAGAAATGTTTGAATTTTAAAAGGTAGAAGACCTTTAAAATTAGTTTCGAGAAAAAAACAATTTCAAGAAACAATTTCGAGGACATTATTCTACCTTTAATAATATATAAATAGATGTTTATTAGAATTAATATTATTATTACAAAGCATTATCAATAATATGTTGATTTGGTTTGACTTATGTGCGTACTTTCTATATGGACAAGTTAGCCTATATGAATTTAAAATAGGGAAAGGGGTGAGATGTCAGTGACTGAGTAC